ATACACATACATATACATCTATATATATTTAGCTTCTGTTACTTCAGATATAGTAAGGATTTTTTTTTATGTTCCAATTTTTCAAAAAATCAAATAGTCTGAGTATTTCTTTCATTTTTCTCTCACCATCTAATTACCAGTTTCCTAGGCCTGTAAACATAGTAAATATTCTAGATCAATATTCTGGGTCAAGAGGCCAAATCAAGGACATTATATAGGTACTTACATAATAAAACCAAGCCAAACTCACTGCCATCGAGTCGATTCTGATTCTTAGCAACCCCCATTGGGTTTCTGAGGTGGTAAATCTTTCCCAAAGTAGATTGCCCCAACTTCCTTCCGCAGAGCAGCTGGTGGGTTTGAACTGCCAACCTTCTGGTTAGCAGTCAAAATGCCTTAGGCACTGTGCCACCACAGCTCCTTACATTAATAAGAAAGGAGAAAAAAAAATCCACAAGTTTTAAGTGATGAAATCCAAAATATAATAATTGTACTTTTCTTATTCACATCTGCTGCAAAAGACTTTTTCAAAGTGTTAAAAAACCAAAGATATCACTCTGAGGAGTGGGGTACACCTGACCCAAGCCATGGTATTTTCAATTGCCTCATATGCATGTGAAAGCTGGACAATGAATAAGGAAGACAGAAGAATAATTGAAGTCTTTGAATTATGGTGTTGGTGAAGAATATCGACTATACCATGGACTGCCAGAAGAACAAACAAATCTGTCTTGGAAGAAGAACAGCCAGAATGCTTCTTAGAAGCCAGAATGGCAACACTTTGTCTCACATACTTTGGGCATGTTATCAAGAGGGACCAGTCCCTGGTGAATAGAGGGTCAGCAAAAACCAGGAAGAGCCTCAACAAGATGGATCGACACAGTGGCTGCAACAATGGGCCCAAACATAGCCACAATTATGGGATGGCACAGGACTGGGCAGTGTTTCACTCTGTTGTACATGAGGTCACTATGGGTCAGAACCGACTCAACAGCACATAACACTGAAACACCAACAATAAGAAGGAGACCTTGAGCAGTTAACATTTTCAACTGCTAACCGAAAGACTGGAGGTTCAGATCTACATCTACCCAGAGACATTTTGGATGAAGGACCTAGAGATCTACTTCCTGAGAATCAGCCATTGAAAGCCCCATGGAGTGCACTTCTATTCTGAGACACGTGGGGTCACCATGAGTCAGTCAGTCCACTCGACAGCCACTGGTTTTAATGATAAGAATGGAATTATTTAGGGTAGGGGATAATATTTGCTTCATTGGGGCCTCAAGTCAGTGTTCCTACCGTAAAAAGCTATTGCAAACATTCATCGGCACTGCTGATCTGTAATGAGATTTTACAGATTTCATCTTTGAAAATGTCTTTTGACACAGATTCTCAAAATTTTTTAAAAGAAACTCATTGCCCTCTAGTTGACTGTGACTCATGGCAACCCTACGGCACACAGTAGAACTGTCCCATAGGGTTTCCAAGGCAGTGATCTTTACAGAAGCAGAGTGCCACATCTTTCTCCTCTAGAGCGGCTGGTGGGTTCAAACCACCACCCTTTCAGTTCGTAGCCAAGCACTTAACCACCGCACCACCAGGTCTCCCAGTTTGACCCAGATAGCACTACCAAATACTGATAGCTGGTCTTGAGCACATGGTTTCAAATGACTGTATTTGCTGCTTGGAAGGCAGCGTTTGCAACATTTTATCAGATTTTTCTCTGTCTTTGCCTTTTAACATACCATTACATTGTGAATGAATCACTTCCACTTTCAGGTTAGGTGGAAGTGCCTCAAGTGCAGAGTTAAGCAGATTCAGAAATATGGAAATTTCCTTTGCATTTGCATCCAGGTCTGAGAACCACGGTTGGAATGGTGGTTGGAGCTTGGAAAACAGATCACTGCAAATTTCTGAGGGAGTAGCGATAGCACCCCTCTTGTTAACTCTGACACCAATGGGTCACTGTGTAAAGCACCTTGCCATTTCTAGTGATGCACACAAAGCTAACTGTTCTTGCAATGACTTTGCATGGTGTAAGTTTTGCATATAAAGGCTGGTTTGCCTTGTAATTTTAGGTTGAATGCATTAAGAAACATTACAAATTTGCAGCAAAAACTGATTTCCAGAGCTGGGGTTGGCAAAGTGGATGCATCTCATGACAATCTCTTTAGCAGTTTAATGCTGGTTTAATACTAGTCGATCATAAAACTTTCTTTCTCTTCTATTTTTGTCGACAGGTTTTCTGAGTCTGGAGATTTTGGTTTTAGTAACTTTTCCCCAATACTGTCCAAGCGCTGTCTGGGGACCAGCAGTATTAACCTCACGTGGGAGCTCATGTTGTTGTTGTTATGTGCCTTCGAGTTCACAGAAGTGCAGACTCTCAGGGCCCACCCCAGGCTACTCTGTATTTAAACAAGATCCCCAGGTAATTCACATGCATGTTAAAGTTTGCAAAGCA